TTTTAATATATTTAAATTAATGTATGAATATATTTTTAACTTTTTGAATTTTATTTAATGTAAAAATGAAGAAAAATAAGTAGAGAATAAGATTAAAAATAATTTTTTTTTTTTAAAAAAGTGAAAATTTGGGTTCTGGAAGTGTTTTCGAAAGAAAAATAAAAAATTGAGGATCAAAACGTAATTTAAGAAAAATATGCCAAGTAGGACGCCCAGTCAGCAGCATCGACGAATCGCAGTGCGTCGCGTGGCAAGGCACGCTGGCGCGGTGCCATGCCAAAGGTCATACTGGCAATCTGCATGACTGCGATCAGACGGTTTGGATTTGTTCCAGTGCGTGTGGATGGTCTGGATCCATTCTCCCTTTAAACGTAATCGTACGGTCCAGATCAAATCGCGATGAACGGTTCAGATTCACTTCTTATTTAAACGTGATCGGACGGTTCAGATCAAATCGCGATGAACAGTTTAGATTCACTTTCTATTTAAATGCAATCTGACAGTGCAGATCAAACACGATGAACGACCCAGATTAAAAAAAGACGGATATAAATACCATACTTTACACCAAACCCTAACCCTAGCTACCAGACCCCTTCGCCAGAGAAGAAGAACCAATCGTCGGGAAGGGAGCCGACCACCGACTGCCAAAAGAGGTAAAAAATTTTCTATTTATTCGAAATTCGATTTGGAACACCCCTATGACCAAATCAGAGCAAAAGGACCAACAGATGAGCTAAAAACTACGGGTAAAGCCCGACGGCGGCGGCACCGCGAGAAAAAACAAAAAACACCTTCGTGAGGCCTTCTCGATTCCCGTTATGTGCAATTTTTCACAATTGTAATCATCATTCTTTTTTTTACAGGTTGACTGAAGTGAAACACCCAACCGCAAAGGTGAGCTGGCGGAGCCACCGCACCAGAAACTCCGTTGTCAGTAAGCCTATATTTTTTTACTTTATTCGGCCAACTGATATCTCTTAACATGTTTTCTCGCAATGAGGAGTACAAAATGGGCCAAAATTGGCTGAAACTGGCAAAAAACGGCTAGACTGAGGCAAATTGCCGCCATGCTGGAATCTCAAAATTGGCCGAAAAGGGTTTCTAACATCTATTTTGGGTTCTTGGAGTATTTTTAAATACTTAGAGCGTGTTTTAATCCCTTAAAAGAAAATTAAGGGAACCTGAGAACCGCCAGTAGACACAGCCAAAAGTTTAGCATTCGAACACCAATTCGAGTAAGAATCCATCACTTTATTCCCTGTTATGGAATTGAAGTCTAATTATAAATAATACAGTATTTTACGTGATTTAAAAATATCGATAATTAAAGGTTACTAATGGAGTATGAACCGGTTATTTATTACTATTTGTCATGTTTTAATTGATTGATTAGTTTTACAGTTTCAAATGTATGATAATTTACTAGAATTGGTATGATGATCCGTTTGTGTTCTTTGATGCATATATTGTTTGTTTTGCATGGTTCACAGTTAAATTGAAAAATTAAATGTAAACGGAAAATTGCTTGATTAACTGAATGGATGAATGATAGCCTTATTGGATATTTTGGGAGATGGTAGATGAATCGGATACATAGGAAACCCAACCGTGAACGTTTCCTCATATCAGACGGGGTATCAAGGATTTGTATTTTGGCGCTCATACCGGACGGGGTATGGGAACGACCCATTTCACCCTCATACCGGATGGAGTATTGAGAGATGACATCTTTTGGTACTCATACCGGATGGGGTATGGGGACGGTCCGTTTGTTGAAAAAATTGAATAAAAGTTCACGCGTTGTAGGGACATCCCTATAGACCCCCATGGATAAAAGTAGGCTGATAAAAGAGAAAACTATTGTTTCGACTGATTAAATATGATATTATGATATTGTTTATGTTATTGTCTTTATATGTCGGTTTTGTAAATCCTGCTACGGTAAGTATGCGGTAAATAATTTTACTCATGATAAACGAATTTACTTAAATTGAGAGCTCCATTATTTATTTTTATGATTTCCACAAACTTTTATTTCTATGTCGGTGAGTAGTGTGATATTCTTATTAAACTAGTGTAACTCACTCTTTCATTAACTATTTCAGATCAAGATGACTAAGATCCAAAGCCTGATCCACAAGAGGGTTGTAGGTAGGACGTTCAGTTTGTTTACTTTTCATTTATTTCTTTAACTATTAGTTGTTCTTTTAGAAGAGTCATTCCCGTAATCCTATTGGATATCCTGAATTATTGTGTGAGGAATGTAAACTTTAACGCTATTATTTTGCTTCTGTACTTAATTTATAATTTACTTCTTTTGAAGTTTCAGGGTCATTACATTTTATCCTTGATTTTTTTTTAGTAAGTTTCATTTACAAGTTTTTAACCAAAATCTCTTTTTTTTTTTTGGTAGACTATAATTTTAAGAAATTAGTTTTAATTTTTTCATTAGTTTCTATTTTCTTTTTTTTTCTTTTTATTACCATTCTTACCTAAGTATTTAACTTTATGCCTGTTGAATCTTTTATTATTTTTAAATACTAAAATTTGATAGCTATAAATGTAAAGTATTTAAGTATAAAACGTACAAGATAAAAAGTTATAACCTACATATATATATATATGTGTATATAAACTAATCAATTAAATGTAATTTGTATGAATTATCTTGTATATTAAACCAAGTACAAGCGCGTGCATTTAGCATT